GGCTTCAACACACATCAGGAGGTCAGCAGCAAACAAGTTAAATGTTCCTTGCTCCATAGAATGAAATGCAGTAGCTGTTGGATCATGTGAAGTCCGTTAGTCCGTTGCATCTTGTGTGCGATTACTTAAGTGATGTCTTGCATGGGATGGGTGCAAATCAAATATTTTGATTGCTCCACTGACCTAAAACCTCAGCAATCACATTCATCACGACAGCTGTTTTTTCTTAGCCAACCACAAGTTTTATTTTTTGTATCTCTCATTCTGTCGGCAGTTGCAGGTGACTACAGACCAGGGCACAAAGCCTTCACTCTGTCGCTCTGAGATCAGAAGTGGCATCTTAAAATAGCCATTACAGTATGGAACAGACATTTTCAGAGTGCTTTAATACTCCAAGAAAAGGCAGGAAAATCAGATGCGTATTGCTATGATGTGCGGCATTCCTTCGGGGAAGGACAGTCAGGTCAGCTGTCTCTTGTTTAGAAAAAGTGAGATTCTAATGTCCTTTGAGGTGAATGTGAATCAGTTCATTTGAAAATTTTGAACCGTATCATTGCTTAGGATCCGTAAAAAATGTGATAATGGCTCTACCCAAGACTGAGTCTGCAGTTCTCTTCTTCTACCTCTTTCTTCTGACAACAAAGTATTTACAGTTTTTCATATATTTCAGCCTTGCACCTCTTTATGCGGTAATTGTTTATACAATATGCCTTCTGGCAATGTTAATTTCTCTGATATTACCATATGTATTCCGCAAATCTGAATATGCATAGTACAAATTTGCATCGTGTCCTTTCCGCAAGAGGGTTCATGATTGCAATGTCATAATGTGGAGTATTTCATCTTTTGCAGCATTCAGTGTCATTTTCTTCTTGAGAATTACAGAATATGCTGTAAATCTTCTCAATTTCTGTTGGTTGCATGTACCTTTGGACCACCACAGTATTAATTGGGTTCATGTTTTTCAGTAGAGCCTCTTTCTTCCAATCACTCACATGCTCTCCATGCACTAATTGCTTGGGTTATGTCCTCTTACAACATCATCAAAGAGATTCTGCCTTAATTTCAACCTTTCTCTGAGGACTCTTGTCACAGCACATGAAGTGATGAAAAAACAATGATAATAATAATAATGCCTAATAATATGCTGTTGGTCCTGCCAAAACCACGCCAAGACGTTAGCAGCAGATCCTTCAAGTCCTGTAGGTTGCGAGGTGGAGCTGCAGTGAATCAAGCTTGTTTGTCCAGCACATCACAAAGATGCTCAATTGGATTGAGGTTTTGGGAATTTGGAGGCCAGAGCAACACCTTGAACTCTTCATCATGTTCCTCAAACAATTCCTGAACAATGTGTGCAGTGTGCATTATCCTTCTGAAATAGGCCACTTCCGCCAGGAAACACCACTGTCATGAAGGGTAGTTTAGGAAGGTGGCACTTGGTATGTTTAAAGTTTGACAGACAGCCTAAACGATGGTCCCAGCATCCCTGTGCTCCCTATGGCCAGTTCATCCCTGGCTTTACTACAGTTAGTGGAATCAAATTTAAAGTGTTCTTTATAAAACCTGCTGAAAAGGCGAACAAGCAATTATTGCCTTGAAAGAGGTCAGAAGAATTAGGTTCTAATGAGCTTTCATCGCTCAACGTTATTAAAAAAAACAAGTTCCCTCCATGATTGGAACTCATTAAATAAATCCTGTTGGTTTTGTGTGAATAACCAACCCGATCACACTAAATACGTCTCTATAGCACGCAGTGTGTTTATCGTGTAATTTATACGCGAAAATGAGTTTTTACGTGCATGGGATATGCATGGGTTGCATAAAAAACATTAATGCGCTCAACTGAGGTGGATACGTTTTTATCTGGGGCCGGTTTCACAAAGCTATTTTAGACCGGTCTATAGTGTTAGACAAGTCTAAAATTTGCTCATAGACTAGTCTAATGCAAGTTAGACCAAAAAAATTAGACACCTTTCCCCCAGGCTAACTTAGGCCTAAGACTCTGTTACCTTGGCAACCAACAGTAACAATCAGTTACATTACAAACAGCCAAAAGCAAAGGAAAAATGGCCCTTTCCAAATTAAACATTTCTTCTTGTTACTACATTCTTCGATAAATTTCCCAAGTAAAATGTCCTTGTAACTGTTATACTTCTCCAACAAACACATATTTTCCGCTGGGGTAAACTGCACTAAGTGGTTGAATGCGCTTACTGTTTTTTATGCACATTTTTCGAATTTATGCGCATCTCCAAGCGTTTTTTTTTTTTTATGCGATGTCCCAATATGCACATAAAAATAGGTGTATGGAAACATAGCTCCTGAGACTTGAGCATGGGTTGGTTAGGGTAGGTTTAGTAGTGGTGTGGGGTGCGTGTGTATTATACGTTTGGGTAGAATTAGTGGTGTGGGGTGCGTGTGTATTACACGCAAATGAACTGCGTATCAAATGCACGCGAAAACTGCGTATCATATGCACGTAAAAACTCATTTTCGCGTATAAATTGCACGATAATACACAATGCGTGATATAGTGACGCATTTACGTGAGAACAGGCTGGAATAACTTTAAGCTGTGCCAGTAAATGCGTGTGTCAGAGGAAAATGTGTGGTCTCAAACAAAGCCTCAGTGGGACAAAAAATGTTGTAATGTTCAAATAGATAATGTTTCAGTGTGGCTCTTGTTTGGCTGACTTTCCGAAAGGGTAAAAGTGAATGACAGACTTTCTCTGTCTGTGAGCTCCAGTGTCTGAACAAATTCATTTTTGTGTTCAGATCTAAGAGTTGAATATTCTTCAAAATGAAACAGATTCTTAAGAAAAACAGGAAAAAAGGTCTGCTGATCTTAAAATGTATTTTTCCTATCCCAGCTTAACATGAATAGACAAGTTAGCCATTTGTAAGTTGATTTCCACCTAAAAGTGTATCTGTGGCACTATCAAAACAATAATCTATTTATTTGAGCATCCTACTGGTTAATTAATTGCCTCAACTAATTGTTTGGGGTAGGACTTTGTTTTACACAAACGCACACACATTGTGTGTGTGCATATATAAATATACATATAAAATGTTGTTTCTTTGGCTGGATTAAATGTCTTCTAGCACAATCGATTTATGCAAAAAAACATTTTATCATAGAAAATTCTAAATGATCTGGGCTGCATTTTCCAAAAGTAGCGTAAGCCTAAGTAGATCTTAGAACCTTTGCCACCAATGGTCTCTACGATCAACTTAACTCACAATGCTTTTGGGAAACGCAGCCCTGGTCAATAATGATTATTATTTTTCTTGCAATTCCAGTTCATGATGCTTGTAGTGCAGAAATTACTAACTTTAAAACTGTTATATAGCTTGAGCATTTTAGACATGTAAAAAACATTAAGGTCTATTTAATTGAATAATTAACAGAATAAAAACCTGTTTATAGTATGTACTTAAATGGGTTATCAGAAGCTATTCTGTAGACCTGTTTTGCCTTTAGTCTGACATTGTTCTTGTCTTCTACAGTATCTTGAGAGAGAGACAGACAAGTAAATGAATATAATCAGCTGAACTAAATGAATCAAGCACCACAAATCAGTTTCAATAAAGAATGTGATGATTTTCACGTGGAGAAAAAGTGGGATATGAGAGAGACAGTGGGGGTGAAGAGATCAACGGATATATACAGTAATTTAAGACAATCTACAAGCATAGGTAATCTGCGGGCAGGCAATGGCAAGACACAGAATGAAGCGTTAGCGTGACGGGCCGGCTTTAGAGGAAGATAAAACATGTATAATTTAAATCTTTCTTTCCCATCACAGCACACATTATTGATAATACCCTTATGCTGAAATTCCCACATGTTAAATGTTTAATTTTTATACTGGAGCAGCACTTCTTTTTTGATGCTGATGTAACTATTTTATGTTCAATATTTAAATATTAGTAAATCTTTTCTGATACTGTTTTTCATTGTTATAATTTCTAAATAATAGAGAGAAATTTACATCAAAAGTCTTATAAACGGAATTTGGTCAAAATGCAGCAATAGTCTATTTATCTTAAAGGAGAACTCCGGCGCAAAATGAACCTTTGGTCTAATTACACATTGTTACCTAGTCAACCGTTATCTGAGATTTGTTTTCATGATTATCGAATGTAAATAGTTTTATCTCTAAAAACAGTTTAGCCTATAAAGCTAGTATAACGCTAGTATATTGGGCATAGTGTAATGACAAATAAAAATAGCTTGTTAATACCACTAACAAGGCTGAAAATAGACCCACACTAACACGGTAGCATAATGAGGGTCCCTACCTTCAAACCGAAGCATTGAGAACTTTGTAAGTGTACAGACAGTTTAATAAGAAGATATTTTAAACATACAGTCAACTTTGCGTATACAGACAGGAGCCATCTTTGAAATACAGCCTTTACCAGTTGATCTACGAACGCCGATCCAAGCCTGCTGTTCGCGCTCACCTTATCACAACTTATAGCTCGTTCACATCTCACCAGCGCACTTGGATCGGCGTTCGTAGATCGACTGGTAAAGGCTGTATTTCAAAGATGGCTTCTGCCTGTATACGCGAAGTTGACTGTATGTTTAAAATATCTTCTTATTAAACTGTCTGTACACTTACAAAGTTCTCAATGCTTCGGTTTGAAGGTAGGGACCCTCATTATGCTACCGTGTTAGTGTGGGTCTATTTTCAGCCTTGTTAGTGGTATTAACAAGCGATTTTTATTTGTCATTACACTATGCCCAATATACTAGCGTTATACTAGCTTTATAGGCTAAACTGTTTTTAGAGATAAAACTATTTACATTCGATAATCATGAAAACAAATCTCAGATAACGGTTGACTAGGTAACAATGTGTAATTAGACCAAAGGTTCATTTTGCGCCGGAGTTCTCCTTTAAAGTGAAAGTTTTCATGATGATTCCAAAACTCTTGTAGATGCCTTTTCCAATCAAACTAACGGTATTTCTTATTGTCTCCATAATTAGTTTATATTCCGTAAAATCATCGATGTGAAGAAGGAGGAAGAGGAGAGGCAGCGCTCAAAGAATGAGGTCCCACTCACCATTCCGGTGGACCACCCGGTCCGAAAACTTTTCCAGAAGTTCAAACAGCAGAAGGAGCTCCGTAACCAGGGTGCTTCAGCCCAGCTCGACCTGGAGAAGAATCAACATCATCTACAGCAGCCCGCACGCATGCCAAAACCACACGCCTCCCTCATGCAGAACTCGCTGCACGCGGTTCAGAACGGATCAACAAGCAGCTTGGTCACCATCTCCCAGATCACACCCATCCAGAACTGTCTGGCCTATTCTAAACTGGGCGACTCCATCAAGCAGAACAACCGCGACATCATGGAACTCAAACCTGCTGTGGCCAGCGGTGACCAAGTCGCAAACCGACTCAAAGTGAATAACACAGCGCGGACCAAGCCCGCAGGAACCGCTCGTGGCTGGATGAGACTGAAAAACAACATGGCTGCCCCAGGTTCATCTCCAGAGGAGGAGAGGAAAGAGGGATTAAACAATGCAGCTAAGGCCGTTTCCATGGAGCACCTTTCACCAGAAGTCAAAGTTCAGATAGAGAGTGTTGAGGTGGTTGGAGAATCCAGGAAGAATTCGCTCCGCAAAACGGACTCTTGGGATAGCGGCCTGACCTACAGTGACCAGAGACTGGATCGGGTTTCAGAACCACAGAGCCCTGTACCTGGACTTGGTGGAGGAGAAGGACCAGCCCGCCATTTTTTCCCCAGTAGCGAGAGCTCATTCCTGGCCTCGCTGCAGGAGGCCAGGGTGGAGCTGCGGACTGAGATCCAGGCTCTGAACGGAAGGATGGTGACTTTAGAAGAACGGATTGGACAAATTCTCAGGCTGCTTTTAGAGACTTCAACGGCCCCATCTAGTGAAGACTCAAATTTGAAAACACATAGACCCAAACTCAAAGCACAGGGCAGCATCCCAGAGACCACTCTCGGTAGACCTGATTCTGAAAAGGATGAGGGATCGCCATAAGAAATTTGCATTCAATAAGCATTTGAGATGAAGCATTTGTAGTAGTATCACTGTTTTGGTGCATCCACATCTGGGTTCTATACCTGCAGCTCATATGAGGAACGTCCAAAATACGAGCTTGGTTTGGATTCTAGTTTGTGATTTAGAGTTGTCAGTTGAACATTTGTACGGGAGCAGGAGTTGGTTTCTAGGTCAAAATAACTGCCAGGGACTCTAACCCTCTCTGAGTACAGTGGCATGTACTGCTAAATACAAAAATAAACGGATTTCTAATTTTAGTGCTTAAATGTTCAATCAGCACTTTTGCACACTGAAATAATGCAGGAACTACAAACCCCCCCCCCCCCCCCCCTTTTTTTTTTCAGCGTGAATTTGTATAGGCCTATATTCTGCATGTCCAGCTGGGTTCTGGCTTGCCAAAAATGTACGACCCTGATGATGTTGAATTATTCGAATACAATCGAAATTATATTTAAATGCTTGTATATTATGCAGTTAACTGCATGCAGATCTATTTATTCTCACAGAATGCTTATTTTCAATGTCTAAATGAAAGAGACTGTTGATTGTTGATTGATTTCACCGTAATGTACATTCAGGGTTTTTAACAACACGTAGCATGACAAATCACTGAGGAAGAATGTGTCTTGTTTGAAACATTTCACGTATGCATGAATGACTTTCACAGCACTCAAGAACTTTGCCTTAAAGGACCTTAACATCACTTTTGAGATAAAGCCGAAGAAGAAAAAATTGCATTGGTTATCAGTGTAGGACATGTCTGTATGGTTATTTTTTTCGTCTGTCCTTCTATACATTTTAACTGCCATGTGTCATTTTTTTGGACAAGTATTTTGGAGGGTGTGGGATTTTATGCAGTTCAATTATGTACCACTCAATGTTATTGGGGTTTGTTTTATTTTATATTGCACCAATAGCAGCTTTTGGTGACTGCAGCTTCACCACTGCATATCTGTCAACTGTATTATATGCAACCTTAATAAAAAAATGGTAAATAAGTATTTACAGTTTGAAGGATCAGCCACAATATTTTGTTCTCATATGCAAAATAACATTGATTTGTTTATCTCTCAAAACAAAGTCCCCTTATCATAGGACTGGAATTCCCAGAGATGTCCCCATGAATTGAAAGACCTGAAACACACCCTCTTCAGTAGATCAAGTCCAGTATGCAGACCAGGACCGCACAATGACAGTAAAAATGGAACTAAATCTGAAAAACTGCTCATAAGGACTCTAATTTAAAGGTATTATTGGATTTTTTCCCCTCTCTGAGCTTCACTTAAATGCATTGTGTGCTGTCACAGGCCGGCTCATAGCCTGTGGCAAAAATGAGGGGACACGAACAGGTATAGGCCAATCAAAAAGGTTCTTTATTGTAAACCAAAAACTATTAACTTTAAACAAGGAAAAAGGAATGAGGTGTGAAAATGTCATAATGTAAGGTGTATGTAAAGTGCAGGGATGCATGAATCTGTGTGTGTGTGAACATGATTGAGTGGAAACTAAGTAAAACTACAAAGGAACAAACAAAACAGGATCATACCTGGAGGAGCAGAGAGAGAGAGATAAGAGTGGTTAGTGAAGCAGTTTAAATACCCTGAGCCCAGGTGGCTCCAATCACTAACGACCCTCCTATGCCTGCAGGAGGAACCGCCCCTGCAAGGCAGAGGAGGGGCCATGACACCCCCCTCCTTAAAATGAGGGTCCCACCCTCAACCCAAAATTTGTCCCAACATATTTAAAACAAACCAAAGTGCCCCAAAAACAAATATACATCTATACCAGTCCCGGCTCCTAGCAGTCACCCCGCGTCCCCTGTCTGACTGTCCGTCCCTCCAACTCTGCAGCCCTGGTACCTGGGGAGCAATTTAAGAGAAAGAGGCACCGACAGCAAGCAGGGGTCAACAGAGAAAAGATACAAACTAGGTTAACGGAGCACGGGACAGGGCATCAGCAATGATATTATCCTTACCACTAATGTGTCTAATATCAAGGTTGAATGGTTGCAAGAACAAAGCCCAACGCATTAGGCGCTGGTTGGGATTTTGCAGGGACTTCAGAAAAATTAGTGGGTTGTGGTCAGTGAACACAATTAAAGGGGTCAAACCGGAACCAACGTAGACTTCGAAGTGCTGTAGAGCCCAGATGAGTCCTAAAGCCTCCTTTTCAATTACAGAATAGTTTTGCTGATACTTATTACATTTCCGGGAGAAGAAACTGACCGGACACTCAACATTGTCATCATTTTCCTGGAGAAGCACAGCCCCAGCACCAATTTGACTGGCGTCTACCTGCAATTTGAAAGGTTTCCCAAAATTTGGTGCTGCCAACACGGGTGCCAAACACAAAAGAGCCTTAACTGCATCAAATGCCTCTTGACATTGGGTGGACCAGATAAACTCAGCCTTGGCCTTCAACAGATTGGTCATTGGGGACACTACTACCGAAAAGTTTTTACAGAAAGCACGGTAGTACCCCGCCATTCCCAGGAAGCGCATCAGTTCTTTCTTTGTGGAGGGCTGTGGGAACTGCTTCACAGCCTGAACCTTGGCTTCCACGGGACAAACAAAACCCTGACCAACAACCTTGCCTAGGTATGTGACTGTAGCTTTGGCAAACTCACACTTTGCCAAATTGATAGTCAACCTGGCCCACACCAGTCTTCCAAACAGGGCTTGCACTCTCCGGACATGCTCGTCCCAGGAGTCCGAGTAGACGACCACGTCGTCCAAATACACGGCACACCCTTCCAGACCTGAGACCACCTGATTCATCAGTCTCTGGAAGGTGGCTGGAGCATTCCGCAAGCCGAAAGGCATCACTGTATAAGAGAACAAACCAGATGGAGTTATAAAGGCAGCAATCTCACGAGCTCTTTTGGTAAGGGGTACTTGCCAATATCCCTTTAAAAGATCAAATTTACTAACATACTTTGCTGACCCAACTTGATCAATACAGTCCTCCATCCTAGGAAGAGGGTAAAGGTCTGCTTTAGTAACATTGTTTAGTTTTCTATAATCAGTGCAGGGTCTGAAAGTGGAATCAGACTTTTTAACCAGAAGGCAGGGTGAAGCCCAATTTGAACAACATGGCTCAGCAATACCATTGTCCAACATATACTGCACCTCTGTTTCCAACTATTACAAATGCCCCAAAAAATATGTTACACAACTCACCTGCTGCCAGTCTGGGTTTAAGGACAGGAGCCACACCCCACTATCCTCCAAAACTACTAACTGGCCCCTAGTCTTCGTGCAGTCACATGTGGTGGGGTTTTATGCACACAAAACCAGTGGATTGGAAAAGACAACCAGAAACTGGCGGCCCCCCCATATCCACGGACGTGCTCCCAAGCCGATGTAGGGAAAAAGGGAAAGGGAAGCTCTACCCACGTTCACTGCCACCTAAAACAAAAACACCACGAGCCTCCTATTGACACTCGCTGATAAGCCTCAACAGGAGAGGACTCCCACCTGAACAAAAACCCAGAAAAGGCACAGAGTGAATTGCTAAACAAATTTAGCTACAAAGCTAACTGAACAAAAATGGAACACATGGCTCTCAACGCTCTCTCCAACAATATTGGCCCAACCAAAGTATCCCCTCAAACAAAACATTGGCAATCTGAACTAAACGAACAAACTACTAACCCAAGTTAACTATAAAACAATAGTCAAAATAAGCCAAACTACAAATGAACAGACTTACCAATGATAAGACAAAGACAAACTAGACAAAACTTTAACCAACTATGACACAATGTTAAAATAAACTAGAATACTAAAGTAAGACTAAAGTACAATTAACTTTAACTTAAGGACGAGCCCCCACTTGTCACAGGCCGGCTCATAGCCTGTGGCAAAAACAGGTATAGGCCAATCAAAAAGGTTCTTTATTGTAAACCAAAAACTATTAACTTTAAACAAGGAAAAAGGAATGAGGTGTGAAAATGT